AGTTTCATGAATCGTAGTACAGCGCGCGGCTCGTAGCGGTTCTGTTTGACCCGATCGCTAGCTCTTTCCAACCGCTTATTACGTCAAATTATCGCCGACGGGAAGCGGTACAAAGGGAAAGGAGCGGAAAAACTGGAATCGATAAACAGACGAATTAGAAATCATCAGAGCTGTGGACCAGAATTTATAGACCCTGCAATTTTCGTGGGTGCGCCCTGCTCGGAGTTCGATCATGGCGCGGTGAGATTGAATTCGGCTTCGATACAAATTGAAGAGTTGAACTCATACTCACACGTCGATGATACCGATGACCCCATCCGAAAACGTCATAACACTTAAAAGGGAAGCCGAAAATTTTGGGTCACACGATCGTGTGAGTGATGTTGGCCTGTACTAGAAAAAAGATTTTCTCCTACGCCAAGGACCAAATTAGGGTGGATCTTCAGCTTTTGCGCAATGCACTTCGGGTAAGATTGAGTTATCTCAAATTTAAAACAATAGGTGAATTATTTTGAGAAAATCTAAATTTAAGCCTGTAGATAAATCAATGAATAATGTTCCTGCCGAAAATCATCCTCCAAAATCTTGCATAAAGTCACAAGCACTGTTTCAACTTTGCAACCAATTTCAATGTATCAGTATCGCTGGTTAATTGGAAACGGTATACTTTTGATTTTGTTTTAAGATTTTGGAGGGTGATTTTCGGTGCGAACATTCATCAATGATTATTAGCTGCAGGCTGAAATTTAGAGTTCTCCAAAATAACTCACCTAAAGATTACAATTGGGAATATATCGATCGTACCCAGAATGCATTGTGCAAAAGCTGGGGATCCACCTAAAGAAAGCCTCTGTTTACTATGAGCGACTTTATTTTTGATTCAAGCATTGCTTCTTCTTGTCGGCAAATTCAAGAATATTGGTGCTTAAATCAAGTCAACTCTTTTTCCACTGTGTATTGAGTGTGGATAGAATAGGCTCCAACTTAAAGATCGATGGACCGAAAAAAAACAACAACATTGTACATGGAGTGATTGATTCAACGATCTAGCTCTTAGGCGAGAGTAATGAAAGACAACATGAATTAAGGGCAGAGAGGCGACAGCGAAACAATCGGAATACCAAAGGATTGCCCGATCGTTAAGTTAGTTCACGGATTAGTGGTGAATTTTTGCGAAAATGCCCTCGAGCAACAATGTTCACCGACTTAGTATTATTGCGCCGCTGTGAACACTGTCACCGAGCAACATTTGGCAGTAATTTCGAATGCCATTCCGATGGATTTGCCGCATGGGCTGATTAAAAAATACCAATACCTCCCTTCACAATTCGTCTGCGAGTGGAAAAAGATTTGTTTATTTATTTATTTTTTTCATGATAAAATATATATACGCACAGACAGCAAACTTCTATAGAGAGGTGGGTTAATAGAAGTGGAAGAAATATTGCCGTTGCAACTGTTGTCTGACGACGAATGGACTTTATTTACATTGAAGGATGCTAATAATATCGAATGAAGAGGAAAATTCTTGATATTGACGCTTTTCAAATACTGCTACGCCCTCTTTTTAATTGCTACCGCTCTATTTAATTTAATTTAAATGCTAGGTAGGCTACATTGATGCAGAGCACTGGAAAAAAACACATTGGATCCATAGTCCAGACTCTTGAAAACATTGACAAGAAAAAATACTCTTGATTCAATCGGATTTTTGCTTGAATCAAAACGAAATCCGCTTAAATGAAGAGGCTTGGTACTTGATTTAAGCAAAAATCCGGTTGAATCAAGAGTATTTCTTCTTGTCGATGTTTTTAAGAGTCTGGACTCTAGATCCAATGTGTTTTTTTTTTTTTTCTAGTGAGGAAGAAAACTGCAAATGGACTGTGATGTGCAATCATGTGAGAATAAAAAAAAAAGTTCTAAATAGACAGTTTCTAATAGACCCACTCGAGAATTTACTGGGAGACTGAGTAGAACTCAAACTTCACCTGAGTCCTTGTATATTACTATTTGTTTATTTTTTCGCTCCTTAAACCTATTCGGAACGCTCTATGAATACACGGCAGTGCAGGTCCTGATTGTGAAAGGCCGAAGGACACGACTCGGGCGTATTTATGCTAAAAGAACCTACGTGCATAGGCTTAACGCGCAACATAGTTCCTTTTAGCACAAATACGTCCACTTAATCCGCAGAGGGCGAAGACGGCAAGACGGTTGGATGCACCTTCAGCCTTCACTCGATGACATCGGGTTGGCTTTGAGACGGTGGAATTATGAAAGCGATAGCGGGCGATGATTAGCCTTCCAGGGAACTGCAGCCCGTTCCGAGATCGCGCCGTGCGGATTTCTCAAGATTCGGCGCAGCGCTTGCGACAGCGGCCATTTACGACCCGAAAGGGTTATAAAATAACGATAATCGAATAAAAACACCGAATCCCCCAACAATAGACGCAACACGCGTTAAGCGGCGACTCCGATTTCGACGAAAGATAGTGGATCGTCGCCCTCCGCGCGATGAGGCTGAGATCTCACTCGGCCGGGATAAAGGGCTCGCCCGAGTGGAGGAATCGGGAATTACGGGATCCTCGAAAATCCTCCAACGCGGAAAATGACGAGGTCAAGACTTTTTTCGCTCACCCCTTGGACACCTCATAATGAGCTGAGGTGTATCCGTTAGGTTGCTATTCACTGTTGTTCTCTCGTGGTCGTCTTGTTCTTTTTTTCCGGCGTTTGACCCGAAAATAACGGGTTCTAAATTGGGAGAAAAAACGCGATTCCGTGAGTTGGTTTTGTCCCATACCGCAGACCATGACCACAGTTCAGGTGATACGTTAGGACATTTTTTTTGCCCCTGCTAAAGTAAAAAATAATTTGATAGAAAAGAAAATTCCTCGTTATGTTACTGAAAACTTTGAATTTTCAATCTTACTAAGCGGAAAACGTATAATCTTTAAAATTAATACCTTACTAGTAGAACTTGTGACGAAGCTTCAACATATGATGCTGTCTTGAAGTATTTTTGATAGTTAATATTATAATTTAACTGCGGTAATTTTTGCTTATGAACGCCATTTAAAAATCCACATTTCTCTTTTTCCTTTATTCTTCAATTAGAGCTCAAAAGGTTTATGCATGTTTTATTTTAGCCCTTGAAATCACTTCTCCTTAGGGTGTAACATTTATTTACCCTACACTACGATAGCATATTTGTAGCATTAAAATGAAGAGTAATGAAGTACTTTCAAACCATTTACCATCTATGTAAACGTTAAGAATGATTTACTTATTAAAAATTAGGGTAAATAATTTGTCGATTTCATCGCAAAAGAACTAAAATTTCCCTGATTTTTCTTCTGATCTCGTGTCAAAATCATAGAAATTTTGAGAAAATATTGCGCACATACTCAATAATGTAAATAATTTTATTTTATTAGTCAATTTTGTAACATTGGAATGGAGTTACGTTTCTTCGTCCGGGAAGCGACGTAGTATGCTCGAGTTTTTTCCAACTTTCAATCCTCTTAATTTGAATAAATATGAATACTAACCAAGTGTAAAGGGTAAAATCGATCTTGAGAAAGAGTTATACTCGGAACTGTAACATACAGCGCAAGTGATTGACGCACTGCCGGCGTCAAAGTCACTGTTGATGTAATTGACAATGCAATCAGCGAGGCCTTCAAGGCGAGAGCCCGCAGTTCCGCGCACCGGCTAGGAGCCCTGGTTTCTTTGACGGTGGTCCTTCCTTCGAAAGGTCTTCTCTTTGACACGGATCGTGTTACAATCGACAAAAACCACTTAATCTTTTGTAAAGGGGCCTTTTTAAGACCACATGCTGCCCTCCGCCCGGCCGAGCCCAGGTATTGCAGACTTGTGTCAATTTTTTTCTTCTTTCTCCTAATTCGTCGAGAACGGGGGAGAAAGAGAAAACCCTCCTTTGTTGTGAGACGACACGTCAAAAGTCATGAGGTCTGGCACACACCGCGCGGGAAGAAAGAGAAAAGTTTCTCCTCCCTTTCGTGTGCCCGCGCTCCGTTGTCGAATCGTGCCGAATATCCGAGGGATTTCGACGGGTTGAACCGGGAGAGAGCCCGCGGGAAATTTGGCAACAGGGTGGGACCTCGAGGGATGCGGGGTTAAAACAAATACGGGCCAACAAAAGGCCCATTACACAATAGGTGTAACCATGAAATTATAATTTCAACGGTCACTTTGGGAGTGAAATCTAGAGTCGTCATGCGTTGTTTGTGGATAATACCGCGTGTGGATCCTGATTCTGTAATCCGTGGCCCACGTTTGATGGTCGCGGATCCGAAGAGGTGAAGTCACGCCGTCACCGCAATTATTCAGGTTTTCGTTGCGTCGTCGGGGCATTCCTTTTTTCAATCCTTTCTCGTTTCGGTTGGAATTTCAAGGGCAAAACCACAGGTGCCTTTGTGGAAAAAGGGGTGAATACTATTTTTTGCATCAAACTTTCATGACTGCCGTTCCGTATGTTTTCATAACTTTAGATGTGAGCCAATCAGAAACAGATCATTCAACTCCTATATTTAGTGCTTAGCTGAAACGTGAAATTTTCCTTTTCATCCTTTCTGTAGCTTGACGTATACCATAGTCTTGCGGTTCTCATGTATTAAAATGAAAATAAAAATAAAAATAAAATCCTTTGTCCAGTCCAACCACACATTTCAACCAGTAGAATTGCTTCATTTTCCCTCTGTCTCTTATGTCCATAGCTTTATCTATAATTGCATATAAAGCCGCTTTTATAGCGCTCTCTGGCGCTCTGCAACACCTAGCCGCCAAAGTCCCGTATCCTCCCAAAGCCTTTGAAGGAGTTGGCACACCCTCATTTCTTCTGAAACCCCCTGTCGCCCCTCTTTTACCGGGCGATGCCTTCATCCCCTCCCAGGAGGAACCCAATCAAGCATCTTCTTCGCTTTGTCTATAAAAGTGAGCTCGTAGATTCCCTCTCCCGTAGCAATAGGTTAGGTGCTTACCTTCCAGTTTTGGTGATGATCATCTCGGTGCCGAGGTCGTGGAACTTGTCCCAGAGCTCCTTGCTCTCGAGGTGGCACTCGGCGACGAGGAGCTCCTGGCAGTTGCAGCGGGTCTTCATCTTGACTTTGGTCGGGGCGTCCTTCTCCTCGTCGGTGCCCTCCGCCTCCGCCTCGGCGTCCACGTCAGCGTCGGCGTCGGCGTCCGCATCGGCGTCGTCCGAGTCGCGGCTCTTCCGCTGGGCCCCCGCCCCCGCCCGCCCACTCCCCCGCGGCCCCGGCGCCCCGGACTCCGAGTCGGAGCACTCCTCCACGTCCACCTCCAAATTCTCCTCGTCCTCGTCCTCGCCGCCCGACGACAGGCTCTTCTCCTCGCTCCCGCTCCGCCCACCCGCGCCCCGCCCGCGCACTCCGGGCCCCGACGTCGGTTGGTGCAGCGACAGCCGATCTGGAATCAGAACCAAAGACGCAACGTAAATAAAAACGCATTCCGGGACGGGATAATCCTCGGTGTGGTTCCGTTACCCCGGCCCGCACACGAATACTGCCGTGATAAAACGTCGCATGAGCCTGCGGGCGTTGCCAAATCTCCTTTGGAAATTTACGAATTTTCGGGAAAATTTATGAATCATTTCCTTCCAATTTTTCGGAAAATTTTGCTACTTACATTTTAACGCCAAATTTGGCTGGTTAAACTGTGTAGAACATAGAAATCGATTAAAAATCGAGCTACAAGCCAAAGTAAATACGTTAGTTTTTGTAAGTTTCATATTATTTCTCATCTACATGTAGTTTGAAATATTACTTATTTATTTTAGCTTGTAGCGCGGGTTTTTAATCAATTACTTAGTTTTTGATAGTTATTTGGACAACATTTTGCAATTCCTTATTTATTTTAGCTTGTAGCGTGGTTTTTTAATCATTTACATAGTTTTTGATAGTTATTTGGACAACATTTTGCAATTAGGAACTACAATTTCAGGCTCGTCTAATAAAGCACCTGCTTGCATGTGTAACCTAATGGTAAACACGCTGTTTTTAACATGAGCCAGAAATTGTAGTTCCTAACTACAAATTGCAGTTCATTTGTTCGAAACTTTCTGAAAATTTCAATGAAAAATATTGGTAACTTTTTTCCGAAATAAATATATTTTTAGTGAGGAAATTTGGCAACATTAGAACGCTCATACGGCGTTTTTCCTTATTGGCACAGTAGAATAGACAATGTTTAGAGTGCTATGTATGCGGAGGAAAAAAGTTCGGTTTGTACTTGACGCCACTGTTTTTTGAAGCAGGTAACCGACGTTTTCAGTCTCAGAAACCGAATTATGGCTCAGCTGACCGTCATTTGGGTCCCATGACAAAGTATTTTGGTTATCTGAACCAAAATATTTTAGTGTTTAGTACACACGCTGAAAAAGAAAGTTCGGTCACGTGAACCGAACGTTCGGTGCTCCATATCATCTCACCTATTCGGTTTGTCAAACTGAACTTTCGGTTGGTATAACCGAACGATGGATTCACTGCTTGAACCATCAAATGAAGGTACATCAATACGTTGCATAACGCAAGTATTACACAGTCACAAAATCACTTTATTTTGACGTAATTAATTGGATCCAAATGATAAAATAGCTTCATTTTTTAGATGTGGAGTTTTACAGACTCATTGTCATCTGAATGCCACATCTATGTCTAAAATGTGAAAAATTCGATCGGCAACCGTCGAGCGCTTATAGGCGATACAAATTTTTTTTTTCTTTTTTTTTTTCAAAGCGCCTACACTTGAGTATTACGGATAGCGTTGTTTGGCCAAAAGTATACAACATCATAACGTTCCTCAGGAAATTAACGAGAAATGAACGGTTTCATTGCAAACTCTACGGTTAGTCATTAGAGGTAGCCCCAAGACAAAATTTGAGTAAATTTAAGCTGTGGATCAACCTCCACACTTTCTCATGAAGAATTTAATGGTCATCGATACGGGTAAAAGTTGAGCATGCTTGAATAGAGCTCAGTAGATTTTTTCCCCCTTGCTTGAATTTTCTTAAACAATATCTCTCTCTTTTCTCGATGATTGATGTACGAAGAGACTTCTTTTAGCTGGTGTCTTAAGATTGTGAATTTCTTTTAATTAAATAATGTCTTAGAAAAATGTATCCTCGGTTACAGAACTAAGTACACCGTTTAAGATTATATATTTTATTTCATGCGGGTTCGCTTAAGTTACCATCCAAGGTATAAGCTCTTGTTATTTCGCTGTGCATCGGAGTGTGACTTGTCGTGTAAAATCCTCCATTGCCCATCCCGCCAAGTTTCATAAATGACAGCGAAACCGCACTGCGAAGACTATTAAGATAATTTCCAAGTCTAAGTTTTATTTCTTAATAACCACTCGCGCGACTTTTTAAAAACATACAACTGGTCAATCTCACTCAATTTTTCTCTTTAATAATCCAATGAACGATAAGTTTAAAATTTCTAGTAAGTCCAAATCAGTCGCAAGAAAAAAATATATGCAAAAAAAGAGAAAGGAATTGTCATAAAAATAACAAACTTTCGAGGGCTTACGTATCACATATCTTATTTTAGAGTCTTATTGTAAGTTTTTCTTTGGTTTTAAATTAAACCTGTGACCAATATCACTATTTTGTGTAATCTTTAGAAAATTAACCAAATTAGCCATGCTGAAAATGTGTAAAAAATGCAAATAAAAAGTCTTTGAGAGTTAATATAGGACGTTCAAGCATTCGTTAGTGCCGTTCTAAAAATCAAAAATATGTGAAGGAAATTCCGATTTGCTAATTAAATTTTAAAGTATGATTTAATTGGATGTAAATGACGAAGCTTCGAAAAGACGCACGGTATTTTTCTATCATACAAGAAATTTTTTCCTTAAAAAGGAGGGTCCTTAAAATTTCATGACAGTATCGACACCTTAGAATACTAACTCCCCGTCGAAACTTTAATTTTCATGTTTTTAAAAGAAGGAAAAAACAGAACAGGAAAATTTGTCGACATGAGATTCAAAGTTACTTTAAAATCAACCTCAGTGCGGTGAATTCATTTATTTTTAGTTCTGCTACGTAGGTTACAACGATTTTACAGTTTTCATTAAATTTAAGAACGATTAACGCTAGTCAGGACTCTTCCATTGAATTCAATCCCCATTTTTAAACAAATTCTAAAACAATCATGTTCCACCCAGATCATACTTAAATCTTTCAGTAATAGAGTCAGCCTTTTTTCAACTCTTTGCGTCTCAGTTACTCCTTATCCTCCTGTTAATCAGAATAATGTTTATTACTTGATCGGAAAGATAAGAGACGGTTGAACGATTTCCTTCTCCTTAACAGAGATTCTCGAAAATAAAGCTGCGCTTAACCAAGAAAGCATGAATTGGCTGGAAAATTTAATACAAACACTGGTTACACAACCTCCACTAATAAAAAGCCTAATATCAATCGAATGATCTCGTGCATAATCATGCCTATAAAAGAAGGTTCAAGCCTAAAATCAAAGTCTTTTTACCATCTCTCTCACCAGCGACTCCAAGAAACGTCCGATAAGTTAGCGTTTCTTAAGTTACTCCAGCAATTCATATAGTGCATTTATCCAAACTCTTTGTGATTCTTTACTTCTTTACTTTTCAATCTCAAGAATACATCAGTGATCAATAATTGAAAAACCTTCGTGTCGACGGCATAATTTTTTCTCTGCACTCTGACATAAATTTTGAACTTCAGCTCACATACATTTTTTAGCTATTCCGCCCTCTAGATTCAGACTCTCTTAGAAAGAAAAAACACTCATAATTAATAGCATGCGGTTGCCGAAACTTTCACCACAGTTCATAATTATTGCCTTTCATTTCAAGAATTTTTGGCGGCCAACGCTAGTGTAAAGTGATAACGGAGGTAAAAATGCATGTACGGATGTGTCAAGGGAGGATACTTGTACTTGTGTAACACAAGTTCATGTGACTTTATGCTCACACTTTCATGGAAATAAGGAAACATCTTTTGAATTGAAAAGTAACAATTGGAAGTTCTGATATCTCCAATTATCTAATTAGAACAATTGCTTGAAAAATTTTGGACCGATCAGAAGAAATCATCAATCAAGACACTTAAATTATAATTTAGGCTAAAATTTACATCGAATACATTTCCCTAGGTAAGACAAACGGGGTGCCGCGATGTACTATAAGTTTCATGAAAATTCGTCGATACGCAGGTAATTCTTTTTTCTTACAATTTTTAACTGCAATGATCTAAAATGTTCATCTTTGGGACCAACCCCCTCCTCCAACATTTTCATGTCACTGAAATGTAATAAGTGGCCGGAAAATGCAACAAAATCTATTTCAATGTTAAAACTTGAATCCTCAACGACCCAAGTCATGCTTCTTCAACTGGTCGGATCCACATGACGATTTTTGTGTGTAAAGAGTCTCGTTTCAAAATCTTTTCATATTCAAAATAATATTGTTAAATTTCAAATGCGCAACAAAGATAATTAAGTATTATCTTAAGAGCAGCAGAAGTTCACTTTCTAGATGAAGCATAATCTTTGCAGTTTCTATTCATGTATCCGTGAAGTTTTTGTTTTATATAGAGAAACATGCATTGTAACAGAAACTCCAATTATTTTAGTTTACGATCCGTGCATATTTCTCTACTTCAATTTTACAATAAGTATTAAAGCGGCCACGAATGAAATGGTTTCCTTCGAACCAGTTTCATTATTCTTCTTTTTGCAACGGCATAACCCTTTGAATTTGTTTAATACAACGAATTTTGAAAGGTCATTCTCAAAAACAAGAAATTAAGAATATGTAGGCGTATGCTTTGTGCTTTTTCTTCACACAGACGACATTATTTTAGAAAAATGAGTGAGACTAAAAGCATCAGTCAACATATTTTTGTTTTACTGGGCGGGAAATCCATACGCAGTAGAATTACTTTGTAAAAATGCACCCAGTGCCAAATATAAGCAAAAAAATTGATTGAAAGAATGAAATCAATTGTTTAGTCACAACAAATTACATTAAATATTTTCATTTGTAACTACGAATGTAATGAAGGCATTACACGCTTTAAATGCTTGAAATGTTGCATACAAATATTACTCCTACTAATATAAATAAATATTTGACAGACATCTGAATGACCGCAAGAGTTAAAGAGATATGTAATTGTCGTGTACCTTTTAAGTTAATGAGTCGATATTCAAGTAGTTTTATGATTCAATATTGTGTAACGAAACAGTGAGGGAAAACCAAGCAGTAAAATAATTGATTTGATTCAATTGATGGAACATCTGCATGGATTGGAAAGTAGAAAACGTGAAAATCCACGTAAACCGTAAGTTTCGCCACCAAATTTCATTTCAAGGTGGTCTTCAGAATGAGATTTGAAATATGTCTTTTTCAAAGGATACAAACTCCAAATTGAGTCATTGCTATTTATTTGAGAATGGGAGGGAAACTTGTAAGCGCAAAGCTAGAAACTCAGGCCAAATCTGTATTAAATTATTTTGAAGAGCCTTTAATGGAGCAATTAAGTTTATTTCAGTTTTTCTCTCCTTCAATTAGTGACAAAGGCTATCAATTTGGAGTCAATTGGAATTGTAGGGACACTTGTAAGCGTAAATTCGGAAACCCAAGTCAAATCTATATTAAATTGGTTAGATTCCAAGGTTTGGTTTCTTATTTCCTTTCTTTCAAGCAGCGATAAGGGCTACCAATTCGCGGTGGGTATGATATTTATTCATGTATTAATTAAAATATTGTCATTTTAACGAACCTCATCTGGTTCTCAGTGTGGGACGTACTCGATCAGTATAGGTTCACAAGTTCTTCGCGACTCCAAAGGGGGAGCGCACATAGGTTTCAAGAAAGTTTTGCAATTTCCAAAAACACGAAAAGGAAAAATGCGATTTTCACCCTCAAAAGGGGAGTAAAGGGAAAACGTTCACGTCTACAAGTCCGTCTTGCAATCACGCCTCAGAAGATATAAGATACATGAAAAACATTCGAGAAGAAAACACGAAATATTTCTAAAATAAATATGTTCCCCAGAGGAAACTATGATCTTGGTTGTCGTATGCCTTCTGGAAAAGCTTGGTTGGAAAGAGAATCTTAGAATCGTCTTAGAAAGTATAGCTAAAGGGTCTTATCATAAGAATACAAAAGCTTCATGGCCAGTATGATATCATGTTTTCAAATTGGTTTGCGTGACGAGCATGAAATATAAGATATAAGATATATGCAAAACAATCCAGAAGAAAACTCGAAATAGAAGCGCACATAGAAAAAACACTATAATACAATTGTTCCCCAGAGTAGTGTGAGGAAACTATGATCTTGGTTATCGTATGCCTTCTGGAAAAGCTTGGTTGGATAGAGATACGTCTTAGAAAGTAAAGTTGAGGGTCATAGCATAAGAATACATCAGCTTCATGGCCAATATGAGATCATGTTTTCAAATTGGTGTGCATGAAATATTAAGAATCCAAAACTTACCTATTAACGCTTGCTGTTTGATCACATTGACGGCGCCTTTGGTCAGCTGTTTCTCCTGATCCGATCGCGCCATGATGGCAGCGATCGAGAAATCAGTGGCGCGGGATTTGGCGGTGAGCTGCAGGCCATCTTCGTGCATCGTCCCCAGTAACATAACCTCGAATCACTAACGGGAATTCGGAGTCAAAAACAAAACAAAACAATCCAAAAACCGAAACTCAAGTCGCAAGTAGGCCACGGCAGGCGATCCTATCGCGAGACATGGGTCGCGCAACACACGAGAGCCATACCCGATTCAATTCTGGCAACAACAACGCGAACCGAATAACCGAAAGGACGACATACGCGATCGGCGGAACATAATCGGGAATAAAACTGCACTCAAAAATCGATTGAAATCAGTCGCATTCCTGGAGGTGCGAAACACGTAGGAATAGTACCCAACGACAAACTAAACAGTTTTCACACTGCCTGGATCGACGGGGAGAGCGCAGTGCATCGAAAATAAGCCCCGCCCCCCGCGGGGCGGGGCCAGTGCCGCCGCGAAGAGGGGGCCGGAGCCCTGTCTCCACATTCGTGAAGGGAAAAAATACTGTTACTCCTTCTTGTCCCTCCTTACTTTTTTCTCCGTTCCTCGTCTTATTTTTCTCGGCTCTCCCCCTTGTAATTATTTCAAACAAGGCGGAGAATGTATTGTGAACTTTATAAAACAGGCGGTGACAAGCCCCCCCGCCCGCCCGCCTCCCTGCCGCCCCTTTCCGCGTATTATCCCCATCTTTCTTTAACCTCCTTTGCAACACTATTAATCCCTTTACGGGTTTACCTTTAACGGCGCGTCTTTGTATTAATCTAATTACTTTTCTTATTACTTTTAACTACCGTGAAACTGTTAGGATTTTCTCTATCATACCGGCTTTTACGACCTAACCTCAACTTTTATCTTGTTCGTTTTCCGAGCCCACTCGAGCCGTGGCATGTGCCTTGCCCTTCGCTCCTCGGCGTGTAAATTTGATCTTCTTCTCCTCCGGGTTCCCTCGCCGAAATGAATGAGTTTTAATTTTTCATCAAGGTCTCCCGGACGATTTTATGGGGGTAAAATTAAGGAAGAGCTCTCTTTCTTTGGGTGAAAAGCTGGAGTGTTTTGATGCGTTAATTACTCTCAGGAATATGTATCCATTTCATTTTATTTTAGATTATATTTTACATCTTCATATAATGTAACAAAATAAAACAATTTCCACGATAAAGATTTTTATTGAGTTTTTGTCTTTTTATTTTTTTTCACTGTATTTTTAAGTTTCCATTGAAAGTTACTAACAATTGATTATGATGCAACAGTTTTGGAGAATATCTGGTATGTATGCTAACAAGTACCTACGCCGGATAAATCTAGGTGAGAAAAACGAAAATTATGATGTGTTCTTGGTGCAGCAGCACAACCAATATTCTTCCAAAACGATGAAAAAATTTAAATGAGATCAGTTTATACGTCATTTTAAACACAAATGATTTACTGACATTTATTTTGAAGATAAACTATACTAAAATCTTTCGAGTAAATGTATTGATAAATATCTTTCAACGTAATACCCGCGTTTAGAGAGGTCCAGAGGAAGAAAGTTAATGACTCTTGAAAACGACGGAATGTTTTGGCTGAAGAGAACTAATAATCGGCGGTAGACTGGACTCATTTGCAAAAAGGCTCATATTGATAAGCACAAATTATTATAAGGAACCTTATTTTACCACAAAGAAGCATGGAAGTCAAACTCAGTTTTTAAGAGCGGAGAAAAAGGCTCGCTTAAAAAAAAATGAAAAGCATTTCATAGTGCGGCAATTTTAAGCATAAAAAAGGCAAGTAAAAGCTTAAAAGTCATGAATGCCTCCCTTATTGTCACTAACCACACGGCAGAAAACCTTTTGTAATAGTTGGATTATCTATTTTTTCCCTCTCCAATTGCCCAGCACAGTGCTAAGAATAACATAACTGAGATGAGACCTGACAGCCCTCGTCTCATCATCTTACAGGTTTTTAACCCCCCCATCCCTCTCAATTTTTTTTCTTCTAAGTTTCTTCTAGAGATTTCCTTATTAGTAATTCCCATTATTTTTGCAGCCTTAGGCAGATTAAAACCACTCTTAATGAGCCTTTTTTTTTTTTTAGACAAATTTGTTTGTGACATACTTGAAGCCTTTAAGGGTCGAACCGCGTAGCGGCAAGGGGGCGGAGGCGGACCCCTCAGGTTAATAATTTTCTGGATCCGGAAAAGAAAACGATCCTAGAATACAGAGCAATCTTGCCAAAATGAGTTATCAGATGCGCAGACAGAGCACCAAATCGCCAATGCTGATTTTCCGTGGCCCACGCAAAGGACGATAATTCGCCTTCAATTTTCCGTGATACTCACATGCTACTCCAGAACACGAATAGTTGCCTAGTCGATCACTCACATACCTGAATGATTTTGGGCTGCACTCACGAGCTCGCTCTGCAGAATGGAGACTTTCATTTCATCACGTCTCCATTAGCACCTGATGCATGAAAGGTGCTGCATCATAGTTTGAAAATTCTAAGATTATTCAAATAAGTTTTGACGTTATACAATTTAAAATAAATTAACTAATACTTTTATTTTCCTCCTCAGAGCCAATTATTGAGGGCTTCTTTGGGGAAAAATTTAAACAAGCACACTTTACGTCATTGCATACACTGGAAAAAGAAATACATTGGATCTAGAGTCTAGACTCTTGAAAACATTGACAAGAAAAAGCTTTCTTGATTCAAGCAGATTTAAGCTTAAATCAAAAGGAAATCCGCTCAAATTAAGAGGCTTGGTCCTTGATTTAAGCTTAAATCTGATTGAATCAAGAGTATTTTTTCTTGTCGATGTTTTTAAGAGTCTGGACTCTAGATCCAATGTGTTTTTTTTTTTTTTTTTCCTAGTGTAGTATATTGAAGTTTGCTTGCGCGGAAAAGTCTATTAGAATCTCACGTAAGTTGTTTGGGAGTGTGACACAACATTATCAATTCATTTGCCGGAGGAAGCCGCATGTTGGTATGTTAAGAAAATTCGACCATTAAGAGTAGCTATAATTTCATGGTAATAATAAATTGAGAAATCTTCTATCTGTATGCGTATTTATTATTCCTCCTTTTTTTAAAATTTCAAAGAACTTCACGCAGATTTTGAAACTTTCTCCCCTCTTTTCAAATGTTTGTCTTGTAGCTACGCCATTCTTTCAGTAAAAGCACAGCGAGGGTATGATAATGAGTAAGGGTCTAAAGTATACATGTAGGGTCATTGGGTTAAAGTAGTTTTAGTTGAATGATTCAGATGTTTCGTGGATGTCCTTTCGATGAACATAAAATACCGCGACTAAGAGATCCTCCTCACGTTCATCTTTCTTTGTTCATTATTATTTCGGTCCAATCTTTGCTTGGCCTAAACATTGCTTTACATAAGTAGAGATGTTTATTCAAAAAAAAAAACAGAATTTCATTCGCTTATTTCATATTTCACATTATTATTTTTTTCTGGAAGTGGGTTTGAGTGACAGCTCGAGAATTAACATGTTCTTATTCGTGTTATTTTACATGTATAAGTCAAACGGTTCTTCCTATTTTATGGGCTGTGCCTTGCGTGTATGGAAAAACCACAAAAAAGCTCATTTTTTGTGGTATCAGGTGTGCTATCAAAAGACGATTTTTTCAATTCGGAAAGCACACCTTGCGGGTTAATTTTAACGAGTTAACGGGGGTTCATGCAAATGATTTGACATTGCACCTTCCAACGCTGAAAAACAAAGGAAGCACAAAGACAAAAGGTACATACACCTTCACGAGATCCGTAGCCATTACCTCCGCTCCTTCAAGAGCTCCGCATCAAAATTTATGGAGTTCTGGCATTTAACTCTGTTTAGGTAGTCAAAACTCGTCGTTTCCGAGAGAAAACAACGCAACCGCATTCCACGGTTGCAAAATCAACTTTAAAAATCCAATTTTTTTGCGAGAGTATTATTAAGAAATTTCTGTTCAAAATTTTGCTGATATGAGCGTGCGATCAGAAGAAAAATCAGATGAATTTTCAACTTAAAATGCCTGATAGTTCCCTCACAAAAATACAGTTTATGAGAGGAAATTTTTCATGTCGAGATATAGTTACGTTCTTTCGTCCAGGAAACGACAAACCAAGCCAAGAATTGGACATGTTTAAATCAAAAGGGACCATGCCCATTATGACATGAGTCCTGTCTCGCACGTATTCTTACGGATTTCAAGGCCCATGTCAGAACGGATATAGTTTAAATACGTCAGATTAGGGGTCGCACATGCTTAGGTGCAGTTAAGAGTGTGCACGAGATGGCAATTTGCTCTTTTGATGGCTTCCTCTTCCCCCTTTTCCGAGTCTCCACGACGAATCTGCTTCTCTTCGGCAATCGCGTGCTAACCTTTTTAATATAATAATCTGGCGTTGGAAATATTTTACGCTGTTTAACACCTGAGAATGGATATAATAAAGAGACCCTCATAATTCGATGAATTTATGGGAGTCGAAACCTACACGCGAGGTGGGACTCCGGGTCTCGCGGCTGGCGAGCCCACATCTTCTGCCGTGCTGCGTATAAACGTCGTAAAAGCATTCCAGTGTTGCCAAATTTCCTCTCAGAAAATGTTAATTTTTTAAAAAAAAATCGTGAATTTTTAGTCTTGACATTTTCAGACTTTTTAGATCGAATTATGAACAAGTTTCGTGGAAAAATCGGAGGAGAAATATTCATAAATTTTCCAGGAAATTCGAGCTTTGTCGAGGGAAATTTGTCAACGCCGAATGGCTCGTACGGCGTTCTTCCTCAGCACGGCAGTCTTGTCAACCGGGCGAGCCGAATTGGACATGTCCACACCATGGAATCCATAACTTAAACTGGCACCTCCTCAAGTCCCGCGGTTACCAGATCCGTCGGAATTCGTTCGGATTCTCACGTCGGAATACACTCTTTCCCGCTCTTTTGTCCTGCGGTCCGGCAACAGTGCTCGTGCCTCGTTTTCCCAGGTGAGCGGACATTTTCATATCGGTGTGAGTTGGCCCGCGGTAATACGAGCCCACCGCAACTTTTTAGCCACTTATTTATGCCCACTTTTCAATGTCTCTTTCATGGTGTCGCCGGATGTTTGTAAATTATTCCCCTCTACCCCTTTCGTCTCCACTCATCTTTCCCTTCCGTTTCTCGTTCTATAGAAATTTTAGAGTTCGCTCAATATACATGTTGAAATTGAAGA